TTTGTCCCTCTTTGCTTTTGTCATATTGATATGAATATGGCATTGCGATATATTGTAACTGTTATTGAACTCACTAAGCGTCACCCGCTTATCCCTCTCAGTGTTTAATTATTGCAGGTGATAAGCATCCAGTATAGTTTTGTAATGGTAGAAGATGTAGAATAGATAATATTATAGCTTTTGTATTTTATGTATAAATTCCTAGGAAATTATGTAATATATAAAACTTTGTAAAAATCTTAATAGTTGGTTTGTATCCAGTGTTTTGTAATAAGACCATATATGTAAAATATGTTTATGAATATGCATGTAGCATGTTTATGGAGTAATAATACTGTAAAGTTTAGAAAGGAGTTCTTTTAACTAAGGTAGTACTCAAGACCACTGAGTTGATTCAGCAGGTGCGAGGTCAACTACGGACCGCACAAAGTTGCCAGAAGAGTTATGTTGGCAGGCGACGATCAGACCTCGAGTTTTAGGTGGGGGATTATGTGATTGTGAAGGTGTCACCTTCGAAAGATGTCATCTAATTCCGCAAGCGGTGCAAGCTAGGCCCCCGATATATTGGTCCCTTCAATATTACCGCCCGAGTGGACAAGGTTGCGTACCGGTTGGACCTGCCTAATGAGCTCATCCAGATCCACAGTGCATTCCACGTCTCTCAGTTACATAAGTGTCTAGTTGATGATTCCGCAGTGGTTCCTTTGGATGATAGTCAGGTCAATGAGCGGTTGAACTATGTAGAAAGACCAATCGCGATCCTTGACAGGAAAACGAAGACCTTGCGCAACAAGGTGGTGGCCTTAGTTAAGGTGCAATGGCAGCACCGGAAGGGTTTAGAGTGGACGTGGGAGCCTGAAGAGGAGATGAGTGAGCATTACCGAGAGTTATTTGCAACAGTGGACTTTCACGACAAAGTCTAATTCAAGTGAGGGAGAGTTGTAAGTTCCGAATCCTGAGGTACATTTTATATATTTAAATTTGGATGCTTGGAGTTGCCACGACGTGGTGAAGGCACCACCACGACGTGGCGAGGCACTTTAGGATGCATACTTCATTTAATCCGCCACGGCGTGGCCGCCGCCTGGTGGCTTAAACCCTAACTTTCCGTGTTTGCACCATATTTAAAGGAATAAGGAGGCTAGGGTTTTTATCCATCTTCAGCCTCCATCACCCTCCTAATCCCTGAAGAAACCCTGATCTCTTTTCCTCCATTATTGAAGCTCATTTTGGTGCTTATGGAAGACCATGTAGAAGAAGGAAAAAGAAGTGAGCCAAGATCCAGCAAGCAAGTTTCCATTCCTCATCTTAGCACACTTTTGGACCTCCATAAGTGTCCAAGACTCCACCTTTATGTTGTTAGGTCGCTAGATGTTTAGTTTTGTCCCATATTCTTCTTGTTATTGTTAGTTGGGATGGTGAGATCCAATAAAGTTTGCAACTTTATGAAACTCTGGGACATTTGGAGTGGTTGATGGTTTGGATCTAAGTATGGTTGGATTTTGAGCCATGCATGAGATTTTTGGTTATAATCCTTATTTTAACGTAATATGAGTTCAAGACATGCATTGGACATGCCTGTCTATAAAGCACCAACTTTTAGGTTAGTTTTGGTGTTGGAAACTTTTCTACTGTTGATGGACTAAGAACTTTAGAGATTAGGTGCTTAATGGTTAAGTCTATGTCATGATTTGCCTTTATTGGACTTAGGGTTTGAGATCTTGGTCTCTTTGAGGGTATTAAGGGATAAAGTTAGAAAGTTTATACATCTAGACCATAGGAAGGACTAGATCTAAGCTTTGGAGCTCTTGGGATCGAAGGAAACAACTTAAACCATTAAGTTGTTCAGAACCCAATACCCACAGCGTAGCCTTAGGTTGCCACGGCATGGCGATTGGGGAATCATCGTCTGTTTTATCGTTTGTGGGCCACAACGTAGTCATGGATGGCCACGACGTGCCAGTCTACTGAAGTCAACTTTGAATGTTGACTTTTTGACTTGAGTTGACTTTTAGTCAAACTTCTAGTTTTAGCAGGTGGGATAAGGGTTTACCTTGTGTGATTGTATAGGTGGTGTATAACATCTATATTTTAGGCAGTGAGAGTAGTAACTGTTGATTATCATCTGGGAGGTGAGTCTTCTCACTGTACTTAAGGATCGAAGACACCAATGCCAACCCACTGGATTGTGTTATGTAGGATGCTAATTGTCTTTGTTATACTTGCATGCAAGACCCTGGGGGTAGTCCGTGCTATTTATATGAAAGACCATGGGGGTAGCCCATGACACTTGTGTGTAAGACCTTCGGGTAGCCAAGACCACTGCAAGGGAAGACCATGGGGGCAACCCATGGAAATGGTATGAAATACCATGGGGATAGCCCATGACACTTGTATGCAAGACCATGAGGGTAGCCCATGGAAATGTATGTGTGGTATGTGGTATTTTGGGGAACTCACTAAGCTCTGTGCTTACGGTTTTATGGTTTAACATTTTCAGGTACTTCAAGTTCAAAACAGAATGCCCTGGCGTGATCGCACATCATCCCCTTATGATTTCTGCATCGATGCTCATTTACTCTGATGTTCTTGATACATTTTTATTATGATGGTTTTAAGACACATGATGTATGGTTTTGATGATTTTAAAAATGAAAATTTTATCATTATTTTTGGGACGTTACATGGTGTGATAGTGTTGATGACTAAGATCAGCATTATACCATATAAAACGGTTACATTCACCACATGATGTATATCCCATGGCCTAAGACTTGACGGAGTAGAGTCGGCATGACATCAACATTATCAACGTACAGCGTCCCCCTAAGGTGGCATGTCGAGCAAACACACCGTAAATGGCATTTGAATGTCGATGTGAGAGAAGAAGGTAATGGCTATTTTATTTATTTAATTTTTTTTCAAATTTAAACATTTAACCTACCAATTCAAAATTTTCAACCATTTTTTTACCCTAATACAAACCCGATCATTTATTAAAAAAAAAAAGCTAGCCGTTAAGATTTATGAAATTCAAATTTTTAAAAATTATGAAGAAATATAATTTGGAAAAATAGTATGATTTATCTTTTTAAGTCATGTTTTCAGTTAAATTTTAAGTCTAGTTTTAAGTCTAATATTAAGTCTAGTATTAAGTCTAGTTACGTAATATTTCAAATGTTAGTAACTTTCTATTTTATTTTAATGAAAATTTTGTCTTTTTTTAAATGTAGTTTAAATTATAAAAAAAAAAATCAATCTTGAGCCATCCCCTTAAAATGGCATGCATGTATCTTATGTGACGAAAATGATGTGTCAGTGAGGTGGATGCCAAAATGATATAACGATGTAATAACCTTAACACCACTAAGCACTTGCTATATCTACCACTAAAATATCACTTCACATCATTTTTTAATTAAAATTAAATCAAAATACAATAAAAACATAGATTTTATAAAACTAGATTTTCATTCATTAAAAAGAGACTAATTGATTTTTTTTAAAACGAGAATTTAAAAAAAATATATATATATGGAATAATGTCAATCAGTCGACGAAGAGGTTGTTCATCTTCAAGATCCACCGGCTCATCATTGATGTCGATGTGTGTTCGGTCGTCCGATTGTTGTAAACTTCCATCGACATTTCTTGGACGCTTCAAACTGGACGGTTCTTTCCATTTTTAAGCATCCTTTAACTTTAGTCAAGGTTTCAGATATGAAAAAGCTTTGCAGGTTGCCTTTTTTCATATTGATCCATGGCCGCCTTAAACACATCGAAATCGATTGACCTGCTTTTGTGTAGCTTGTTTAGATTGTTGTGGATTCCGACAAATTCGTTATATTTTAGCCTTAAATCGTGCCACTTCAAATTAATTTGTTCGGGATTTCGGCTTTCACTTCCCATTAAACTATATAACACGGTTCGAACATTTGCCCAAAAACAAGTAGATGTTTGAGTGGTAACCACAAGTTTTTTTTTTGGTCAAGGTGGCAGTGAATGCTGTGTTTTAGCTACAAAATTCGGTGAATCTTGTGGTTGGGGTTGTTAAGGTTGTGGTTGTTGTTGTTGTTGTTGTTGTTGGAAAGGTTATGGATATACGAAAAAAGGATTGGAATTGTTGTGGAAACGGGTGTTGATAGGGTGGGAGGTTGATAAGATTATTGAAAAAGTTGAGTTTGTTGGATAATGGAAGCACCTTGGAGCAAATTATAAAACCGGTTTGAGGTCATTCCATGTTCGGGTATTGACGAAGAGATGTATCTAACGCAAAAGTGTTATCGAGGTTGCAGTCTCGATAGTTTGGTGTGATATTTTGGTTGTGATCCATGGTTTTTGGATTATAAAAAAATACAACTGTGTGTATGTAAATAGAGGAAGAGAAAAATGATGTGTAAAAATATGGTTGTATAAAGTGGTATTTATAGGTAATAATTGAAAATTAAAAAACTTGCCATTGAACGTCTAGTCAGCCGAGTCAAACACCCCTCACCCTCCTATTCGTCGTTGTTCTTCTTCATAGTCATCACGACTTGCCACCTTGGACCACAAAACCCTCTGTTGAGGGTATTCCAAATAGCCTAGCATAAAATCTTTTATTTTGGGCGTGTTTTGACATGAGCTTTTGGAAACTTATAGCTTTTAGCTTTTAACAAAAACTTAAATTTAAACAAAATACTACGTTTAGAAGTACAAACTTGTAGCTTTGGTTTAAACAAAAAAACACAAATCTAAAAACTACTTATACCATTTTAAATTAAATTATCGAGTCTTTTTAATTCTCATATAACAAATAAAAGCTACAAGTTCCAACTAACAGCTAGTTTTGCCAAATAGCTTGAATTTTATAGATCATACGAATGACGATAATGGTAATTTTAGTAAATTTCAATACACGATCTGTACTTACGACCAAGTAAATAAGTAAGATAAATATATATTCATTTTATCGTAAGCAAAAAAAAAGTAAATAAATAAATAAATCTTCATTTACATCAAATCACGTCGAGTTTTTGTAATAAGATCACCAAATAAAACAAGCCTAATTAAAATGGTTCACCAAAAGAACAAAAAACACCTTGTTGGTGGCAAAGAATCATGAAATTAAAGAAGCTAAATTAAAATAAACTAGTTTTTAATGGAGTTTTATTCTAGTTTGGATCAAGTCCCGGCAAATCGGGCACAATTGAAGAGTTTCCCCGCACTCATGACATGTCTGCAAAGATTAAATATCATAAGATTAATAAAAAATATTACAAATGGAAATTTTCACAAAATCAAAAAATACATTTAAAGTAAATATAAAACCGAAGGAAAAAATATACCTGATGTCCACACCCCAAGGCCATGTCGTTGGTGTTAGTAAGGCAAATGGGGCATAACTGCATAATCAGAATTAGAATCAGATAATACGAGGAAATGACCAAGTAACTTAAAAAAAAAGAAAAAAAAACGCTATTTCTTGCGTTTCATAATAATAATAATAATTATTATTGTGTAAAAACTGACGTTTTTATCATTTGTAGATCTTGAAATTGATTCTGATATTAGAAGTTGACTAGTTTGACCATATACACAAGAAAAAGGAACCAACTCCAATGCTTTTGAGGTGTTGTAGGAGGAGGAGGATGCCTGAGGGATTGGTGGAGGAAGGGCCGCCCTCCATGATGACATTCCTACGCGACTACTGCAAATTCAAAAAAAAAAAAAATTTCGTTAAAAAGATGACTAAGGGCATTTACGTCTTTTAAGCATATAAAAGATTATGAACAAGTCCATCTTTTTATGTCGGACAAACATTACTACTTTTGAGTTTTGTCCTATTGACATGAATCTCAATCTCAGTACATGCCAAAAGCTCTTGTCTTGTCAAATACTATGTAACTAAAGCTGTGTTTTGGCGCGCAACAGCAAGTTGATAAGCTAACTTATTTTTAGAGATATTTTTAGGTTATCATGTTTAGCAAGCCAAAAAGTAGCGTAAAAACTTGTTTATAAGCTTAACTTTTTAAAAAGCTACTTAGACTAGCTTTTCAGGAGCTTTTTTAAAATTGTTCAAATATAACCTTCATTAATTATAAAAATAAAATTTTTTCTAAATACCCTTTTATGTAATTTTATATCTTCCAGCTACTTTTTACCAAACGTCATTTTTTATCAGCCAGTACGCCAAAATGAAATGTCACCTACCCTAGTAAATTTAGTCTGTCTTAATCCCAATGTATGTCAAACACAGTACAACCTGTTTTGTCTTGTCCTCATCTGTGTGATAAGGAAAGAAGGGAACGTGACGTTGACGTACCCAAGTAAATTTAGTTCGATTGTTGCTTTATATTGAGAAGGGATTTCCATTAATGCTGAAAGAGCAAAATCCGTTTCTTTTCGGATTGAACTCGTGTTTTTTGACATGATCTCCGTGAAATTCACAAACTAATATTAAAAAAAAAAAATTAGAATTAGAAATGTATAATATAAAGAGGGATGACACCATGAAATTATATTGAAAGTAACTTTAATTTTTACCTGGAAATTATCGAAGTCACGGGCAGGGATATTATCGTCAAATTCCTTCATCATGTCCCACGGCCCGTCTCCTACCCCGACTAATACAATAGAGAGTGGAAGCTTGCTGTCAAAAACAACAATGTACTATTATAACGAGGGTATAAATGTCAAAACACAATTTTTTTTTTTAATGGATTAAGATAAATCACCTTGCTTTGACTATGGCGTCTACAGTTTTCTGTTCTTGTAGACTCAATTGACCACTCTCAGTATCCACACTTCTTGTTACCTATAATTTAAATAATAATATTCCTATAATTTAAATAATAATATTAAAATAGGTGCTTACTTTATGATTTTAATCAAAATCAAAATTTTATGTTTTTTAAACACTATTGACCGAAATTACCAACCTGCCCATCAGCAATGATTAATAGGACATGGTATTGGCCCCCACTTTGTTCAACAATTGTCAATGCCTGTTCAATCACAGGGGCAAAAGATGTGGGACCTACACCAAAAAAAAAAAAAAAAAGTTTAATTTTATCAACAAGAATTGAAGATGACAAAGAATGAAATCAGATTAAGAACCTGAAAGCTTAAGATGAGTGATAATTTCTCTGTATCTACTCAAAACATCTTCAAATCCATTACAGAAACCATCTTCAGGATAAAAGCTGAACACATCTTGATCATGTGTTGTTGCTGATAATTGAGAGCAAAAAAAATTAAGATCTCTCATAGTCTCACCATTACAAAGAATAAAAAGTAGTTGAAAGAAGTATATACCATCTCCAAATCCGTAACATGGAATCAAGTTATCTTCATCAAAAGCTGCTAATGTCTTCCCAATGATGGATATGGCATGTTCATAGGGATTTAGACTATGATCTGCAGTATGATGTAGGCTTTTTCCATAAAAGGATTTTGAACCTGTTTACATGATCCAATGTTAGCATGTTTAAAGTTTAATTCATTTCCATTGATGGAATTCAAGAATCGTTAATTACCTGTCCATTCATTGCTTTTGGTGAAATCAATGCCCACAATGAGGTTAGAAGACTCGAGTCCTGCAAGTGTAAGAGCCTCTGTCACCTGCAGATGAAGTAAAAGTAAAATCCCTAATTCTAAGAATGATACGAAGAATTGTTTGTTAAGTATGAGAGAAATCGTAGGTGATCGATGTTTACCTGTTCCAAAGAGGTGTAACTATCATCGATTTTTGAATATCTTTTGTCAAGCTTCTTCTTCTTCTGTGGTCTAGTAGGAGATGCCGGAGGAGCAGTAGCAGGTGGCGGAAGAGCGAAATATGGTTGAGAAAGATAACCGCTGTACTGATTACCTGAAAACGATGACGAATGCTCACATCTCGCTCTTTTTTCCCTCGAATTCTTTCCTCCCATTGATTAATCGTTAAGATATTAAGAATCCAAATTGTGAATTGTTGGAAGGAAAAGAAAAAACCCTCGAAACTGAATTGTAATTTGTAAACCCTTATTTATAGTGAAAGACTGAATCTTATAACGAGTATGAAAGAGGGTTTGAGTGAAATAAAACCTAATAAGGAGATCGAGAAGGCTTCAGCGATGTTCGTGATTACGAAAACGTTTGAATTTGTTGTTTTACAGATAAACCTGAAACAGAAATTAAGTTTGTACCTATCTGGTTGCCGTAGAAATCGGTGAAAACCCGGGATTGGTACGTCTGAAGTGTTATCTCTTACACCTACAACAAACGTAATCATCATCATCATCAGCATTTAAGAGTTGGACTTAATCTGTTATTTACAGTTTTAGAAGAGAAGCTGAGGTGAATCAGTGAATCTACATGAATGATTCGTAGAAAGGTTGAGTGGATGGATACTGTGGATTCTCTGAAGCGTCACCATGTGGTGTTTTACAAATGATGTTAAAGAATTTGTTAGGACATCAATGGAAGATTTTGATTGTCTTGGAAGAGTAATAGAACTCTTCTTTTGATTTGATGTGTTCGTTTCATTGAGTTTTAAGCATGGAGTCCTCTGTCAACTCCAGTATGAAAGCCGTAGGACAAATATCTAGAAGCAAAAAAGATAAAATAGGCAAAAAGAGTTTGGTGCAATTTGTACTTATGAAAAAGGTTTTAGCTATAAATTTTTTTAGGGACATATACAAAGTCCTAATATTTTCATTGATTTGACAAGAAAGTCCTAAACTTTATTTTCTTTACAGTAAAGTCTAAATTATCGGCAACTTTTGACACTTTTACCATTTTTTCCCAATTAGCCGGTAATTAGGACTTTTTGTCAAAAAAATAAAGTTTAGGACTTTTTGTCAAATCGTCAATTACAACTTTACTGTCAAAAAAATAAAGTTTAGAACTCTTTTGTCAAATCGTTGAAAATATTGGGACTTTAGTGTATATATCATTTTTTTGTTAGAAATTTAATGGTATGATATTCTTTAAGCATAAGAGTTATTGAAACATTATCTAGTCAGCTAGATCCTATTGAAATCTTTAACGTTTGTTTCTTGTTAAATCGTTTTTTTAATCTCAACAAACCGACATTGAAAAAAATGGAGATAATCAAGAAAGAAAGAAAGAACCAGGGTTGTGTTAGCTTTTTGCAGTCCCAAAAATGGAGAAATAAGAAACCGAAAAATGGAGAAATAAGAAACCAGGGTTGTGTTCGGTTTCTTATTTCTCCATTTTTGGGACTGCAAAAAGCCAACACAACTCTGGTTCTTTCTTTCTTTCTTGATTATCTCCATTTATGAAATGGAAATATGTCTACATATTTGTGTTCTTCTCTGCGATACCTTCAGTTTAATATATTACACGTCCAAAATGGACAATAGATGAATGATTAATTAGTTACCAAAATGTAAGGGTTGAATGGGTATATAAATAGGAAATTAAAGGTTTTCTCAAAAAAACCAAATAGGAAATTAAAGGTTGAATGTCTTTAGTTTGCTGAGCTTTGGCTCTTTCAAAAAAAAAAGGAAATTAAAGGTTTTTTGGTTTCAGATGATTATAAAACCTTACTAAAGACAACATTAGATGGGGATGCTTATTACAATCTTTGTGTTTAATGCTTAAACTTTGTATTTAATGTGATTGTCCATTGTGATTGTGTAATTTTGAGCACCGATGGATCTATGTATAAATACAACCCTTCTACTACCTTTTCAGAGACACAAAAATAAATAAACATAGAAAAAATGGAAATCCTCAATCATCCTCCTCATTTTGCTTTTATCATCTTCTTGCTATGATTTTTTTGACATGATTTGTTTTTTTCACATTATTTGTTTTCGGAATTGACTATGTCAGTCCGGAATGTATGGTAACAGATTTCAGAAACATCCTTAACCAGCCTCCTTCAACTCCATAATGGACTTAACTACTCTGGAATGGCCAAATTCCGGATTTAGTGGTCATATTTCCAACTTTGAAAAAAAAGTAGTGATTTTCATTAAAACGCTCACTTATATTTTGTTAGTTTAATGAATTTCCTATAATATAGCAACATTAATTGTTTTAACGGATAAAACATTATATTTTAACTTTCAATATGGGTGATGATCCGTACACAACAATTCTTAGCCATACACAACAAATTATGTTTTATATAGTTGTAAAGTATAATCATTTAAATGATAAATTGTTGTGTATAGCTGAAAAGTGTTGTGTACAAATCACTATCCAATATGATTAACATTTTTACCTCAATTTACAGGTGTTACAATATTAATCCTTACAAATAACAACTACATGTTACGAGTATATAATGTCTGATGAAAAAAAACACAAGTTCGTCATTTTAGAAAAATGGGTTTTGCCTATTTTCGAACACAAATGCCTCGTCCATGTTGAATTTGTTTGAAGAAAAATATGTAAAACACATGCCTTAGGCTTATTATTATTATTATTATTATTATTATTATTATTATTGATCTTTATGTTTTCTTGTTTGTTTTCGGTAGTACAACAGTACAATGAGGCGTTTTACTATAACAGTGTTAAAAAAAAAATTCTCACTGATGCCTGGTACAATCTTCAAGTCAAAATTGTGGGTTTATGATAACATTGATAATCGTTTCATAAGGAAGATGGTAATATTAATTCCTGATATAAATGACACACTAAGTTACATGTATGCTTTTGTCAGAAAAACATATCCGTGAATTGATAGACAAATATCACAATATGTTTGATTCTCCTTTTAAGTTTGGAAATATATATATGGTTTTGTGTGACACTTATTCTTTATGCCCTCTATTTAACAGAACTATTATTTATCCCCGTAAATCATATTTCATATTTTAAATTCTTTTATTTTTTTGACCAATTAATCTATCTTATTAAATATTAAAAATAAAACAAAATTTTATATAGCATTTTTTTTTCTAACTTGATACCTTATAAAAATAATACCATTATCAAATATATGATATATGCTTAAAACAACAATATTCACATTTTCTATACAAGTTTTGTAACATAAAATTAAAATTATACAGTAAATTACACGAATAGTCCCTATGATTTGGGATAATTTGTGTGTTTGGTCCCTAACTTATTTTTTTAACTCGGAAGGTCCCTACTGGTTGTTTTTGTTACACACTTGGTCCCTACTGTTTGTTTTTGTTACACGTTTGGTTACTGTCTTACCTAAAAAAAACTATTATTTAAATAGGAAAAAATGGTGAGATAGATACAGTAAAGTGAGGGGGGTGGGGTTAGGGTGTGTTTATTTAAATAAATTAAAAAATCAAGAGAAAACTAGTCGTTTTAGGTAAGACAGGGACCAAACACGTAACAAAAACAAACAGCAGGGACCTTCCGAGTTAAAAAAATAAGTTAGGGACCAACCGTACAAATTACTCTAAACCATAGGGACCAATCGTGTAATTTACTCAAAATTATATTTAAAATTATGTACCTTAAGTTTTACCATATATTCCAACTTTGTCAAATCATAAAAGAAAATTAATCACTCGACAACAGTCCAATAATCTCTCATTTATCTTACACAACCTATAAAAATGAAATTAACAAATCATTGAACATGTACAAACAAAAAAATTATCACTTCATTTACACCATTTTTTCCTTAAAATCACCAAATAAAACCCTAAATGACTCACCAAGAATGAAAAAAATAAATAAATAAACATCAAAGAATGGTGACTTGTACTTAATAGAGCTTTATTCTAGTTTGGATTGATTTCCTACAAATCGGGCACAACTGAAGCGTTTCCCCACACTCGTGACATGTCTGTCAAATCAAAATAATCATAAAATTAATATAAAATTTCCACAAAATCAATATTCATTTAAAGTAAAATAAAAATGAAATAAAATTAATATACCTGATGTCCACACCCGAAGGCCATGTCCTTTGCGTTAGCAAGGCAAATCGGGCATACCTATAAATAAATAATCACAAAATCAAAATCACTTGCTATAAATATTAAATGCCATGTGATTATAGAAAAATGTTGCAAAAACAAAAATATTTACCTGGTTGTCATATGTAGATTTTGAAATTGATTCCAATACGTGATGTTGACTAGTTTGACCATAATAAGATGATTGTGACATTGACCCCTTTTGAAAACTCATTGAATTAAATGGTTTTGATATGTTGTTGTAAGTTGATGGTGAACGAATAGGTGGCGGAAGGGCAATCCTCCGACAGGACATTCCTATATCTTTGCGACTACTGCAAATCCCAAAACAAAAATCAAAATTAGACAGGACTATTTTCGATGATGAGGATTAAAAGGGCATTTACGTCTATTTTGCACAGTGGGTGGGACAAAAATTTAAATTCGTATCATTGACATTGGTCTTAGGCTATGTTTGGCAGACTAGCTGAAAAGCTAGCTGCTAGCTGATTAAGGCCGTGTTTGGCGTGCCACAGCTAGCTTATTTTTCGAGCTTTTTTTAAGTTGTCATGTTTGGCAAGCCAAAAAGTAGCTTATAAGCTAGCTTATAAACTAGCTTTTTAAAAAGCTACTTACACAAGCTTTTTAGGAGCTTTTTTAATATTTTCCAAATATACCCCTTAATTAAATATAGAAACGTATTCTTTTAAATGTCCTTTTAAGAAATTTTTATATTTTTCAGCTAGATTTTTAGTTAGTTTTACCAAACTATATTTTTTATCAGTTAGTTTTTAATTTAACAGCTAGCTTTTCAGCTATCAGCTAGTTTTTCAGCTAACAGCTAACTTTTCAGCTAGTACGCCAAACATAGCCTAACTGAAAATCTAACTGTTAGCTTATAAGCTAGCTGACGAAAAATGATGTTCGGTAAAAACTAGTTGATAAGCTAGCTGAAAGATATAAAATGATATAGAAGGACATTTTTTTAAAAAACTTAATTAAGGGTATATTCGGAAAATTTTAAAAAAGCTACTAAAAGTAGCTTTTTAAACAGCTAGCTTATCAGCTACTTTTTGGCTTGCCAAACATGACAATTTAAAAATACTCAAAAAATAAGCTAGCTGTGGCGCGCCAAAACACATCCTTAGTCTGTCTTAATCCCAATGCATGTCAAACGCAGTGCAGTCTGTTCTGTTCTGTCATGTCCTCTGTTCTGTCATGTCCTGATTTGTGTCATAAGGAAGGAAGGGAATGTGACGTACCCAAGTAAATTTAATTCGATTGTTGCTTTATATTGAGAAGGGATTTCCATCAATGCTGAAAGAGCAAATTCTGTCTCTTTTCGGATTTGAGGCGTGTTTTTCGACATGATTTCCGTGAAATTCACAAACTAATATAAAAAAAATAATAATAACATTAGAAAACGTATAATATAATAAGGGATGACACCATGGAAATTATATTGAAGGTAGAATTTATGGTTACTTGGAAATTATCAAAGTCACGGTCAGGGATATTATCGTCAAATTCCTTCATCATGTCCCACGGACCGTCTCCTACCCCGACTAATACTATAGAGAGTGGAAGCTTGCTGTTAAAAATGAAATTGTAGTTTAGAATATAAGCACACAAAAAACTTGTATTTAACATATTTTTAATTGATAAAAGTTGTAGAAAATTAGAAAATTACCTTGCTTCGACTATGGCGTCTACAGTTTTTTGTTCTTGTGGACTCAAATGACCTCGCTCGGTATCCACACTTCTTGTTACCTATAAATATAAATAAGTTTTATAAAAATTACTACTTGGATGTAATTTATGAGCAATTCATTTCACACGACTTATGTCACAGAAAAAACAGGTTATACTGTATTTGGTATATATTGGATATATCAATGGGACAAAAATTGTACTTTTTTGTCCCATGCATAAAAAGGTGGGATAGGGACCCACTCTCAATCTTTTGTCAATGAAAAAGACGTGAATGCCCTCCATATCCTAGAAAGTATGATTAATATTGACCGAAATTACCAACCTGCCCATCAGCAATGATTAATAGTACATGGTATTGGCCCCCACTTTGTTCAACAATTGTCATAGCTTGTTCAATGACAGGGGCAAAAGATGTGGGACCTACATGACAAAAAGAAAAAAAGTTCAATTTTATGATGAAAAAATAAACATTAAGCTGAAAAGAAGCAAATTAGATTTAGAACCTGAAAGCTTAAGATGAGGGACAATTTCTCTGTATCTACTCAACACATCTTCAAATCCATTACAAAAACTATCTTCAGGATAAAAGCTGAAAACATCTTGATCATGTGTTGTTGCTGAAAAAAAAAATTATGATCACTCTTAATATTTAAATTTTTCAACACAATTATAAAGAATAAAGAGCTATTAACTATTATAAGCTATACCATCTCCAAATCCATAACAAGGAATCAAGTTATCCTCATCAAAAGCAGCTAAAGTTTTCCCAATGATGGATATGGCATGTTCATAGGGATTTAAATCATCTCCAATGTGATGCAAGCTTTTTCTGTTGTAAGATCTTGAACCTATTTACATGATCCAATGTTAGCATGTTTAAAGTTTAATTCACTTCCATTGATGGAATTCAAAAAGCAACATGAACATGAAATCAAGAATTACAAAGTAACTACCTGTCCACTCATTGCTTTTGGTGAAATCAATGCCAACAATGAGATTAGAAGACTCAAGTCCTGCATGTGATAGAGCCTCTGTCACCTGCAAATAAAGTAAATTCCTCATTCTAACAACATAACAAGAAAAGCTATCAACAGAAAGAACAAAAGGTGATGTTAGATTGTTAATTACCTGTTCCAAAGAGTTGTAACTATCAGCAATTCTTGAATATCTTTTATCAAGCTTCTTCTGTGGTGTATAGATTGGAAGAGAAGTATATTGTTGTGGATTCGGATCCTGAAAAGGGTAATTTTGATCTCCTTGAGGCGGAAGAGAATAAGATGGTTGAGGAGGATAACTAGAAAATGATGAAGTTGATTGGAACGATGACGAATGTCTATATCTCGCTGCCTCTTCCCTTGAATTCTTGCCTCCCATCGATTAATCTGTAAAGTTCAGATGTATTGTTCTTCAGAAAACAATTTCTCGAAATCAAGTTGTGAATGATTTGAACGAAAATCCCTCGAATCTGAACTGAAAACCCTTATTTATAGTGAATACTGAATCAGATAACGAATATGACTTGGTAAGTTGGTAGCATTATATATCGAGAAACAACGCGGGATTGACGGCGATGAAAACTAAGATGGTGATTCGTGGAAGCTTCACCGATTTTCATTTATTTCGTGTAACGCTACATAAACATTTGGATTAATTCTTCTACGAAAAAACCCTGAAACAGAAATCAATTTTGTAGCTATCTAGTTGCCATAGAAGTTGGTCAAAACACGGCATTCATACGTCTGAAATTTCATCTCTTAAACTAGAAGAAACGTGAATCAGACTTGTAAATTCTGGTCAAATTACATCAGCGTTTTCCCTCAATTAACAGCTATCACTTCGGTGGTGAATTTACCACACCAATAACTAATTAGCCTCAGATTAAGTGTTTGATATAAGTAGTAATTCATGATTTTCAGATGAGATGGGTAATTTGATGTGTTACTAACAAATTAAAAAATTGAAGAGGAGGTGATTGGTGAATCAATGAATATTCAATATACAGGAATGATTCGATGAAACAAACCTGGATAGATTCTCTGAAGGGTCAGCATGTGCCGTTTTCAAATGATGAGAATTTCTCAGCGCATCAATGGAAATGGAAGTTTCCGATTGTCTTCGGAAAGTAATAGAAGCTTCCATTCTATTTGATTTAATATGATTGGTTTTGTATCGGAAGTTTTGGCTTCATCGAGTTGCATGCATGGTGAGTTCTCAGGCCACCGGATTTCATCCTCAACAAATCGTGCTTCTTAATTTTGGCCAAATATCCCTCTTTACGAAGAAAAGAGATTCCACTAACTCCATTTGAAAAATACTGACTTTTTAAAAGTCAAACAGCAACCTTCTTATTAAATTTTGACTTTGACAAGCATAATCTCTAGCCTGGGCCCTATATGAAACTTTGATATTTTTAAATTACAGATTTAGTCCCTATATTTAGTAAAAGGTTACAGTCAAGTTTTTGGTCCAATTTTTTATTATGGTTTGAAGATCATGTATGAAACTTCGAAAAGGTTATAGTATTGTTCCACATTTAAAAATGTTGAGTTTCTATGGTTAAAGATATCACATTGGTTATTTTGGCTTCCTCTGTTAAATATTTCAGTTTGTTAAGTCGATTCTCGAAAATAGAGGTTTTCAGAAATACCTAAATCCAAAAAATCAAATTAAAATTATCCAAAATTTTAGATATCCGAAGTATAGATATTTGTTTTTTCGGATTTGGATACCAATTCAGATAGTGATTTTGATCACTTTTGGATATTTTGAGATTGTCCGATATGCGTCCGATATCCAAAATATAAAAATATAAAAAAATAAATAAATAAGTTAGTTTTGTTACTTTTAATTGGAAATTTCGTTGCTTGTGATTCATTGCCATTAATCCCAATGACCGCTTGATTTTTGTTTCATATGTATATAGTTTTTAATCTAATCTCTAAATATTATTAAAAGAGAACCCTAAATTCATCAATGAAACAATCAGGGCCCTTGAATGTATTTCAATCCTATGATTTCCACCCTTACATCTAATTGCTGACATCATCTTTCCAAAATATAATCCAAACATTTAATGATAGAATCTTTAAATTTAGCAATTACATTTCAAACATAATTACATGAATAACCGCCCCATCTTTCTCCTATGTTTTTTTCTCTTAAACCATAATTTCCTAATACTCTTCGGCCTTATGTCAATGGTTGTGCTTCGATTGATGCTTTGTGTGTTCATAACAGAATGTAGCACCATAAGATGGTTCCTTTTTGCTCATATATTCTTAGAATTTGTGTATTGCCTCTTCCTTGCATCTTCAATTATCACACCTCTGTTTTGGCTTCACACAAATCTCTACAAACTGAAGCATGCATCTCCTTCAAGATATTTTTTGACGATCTATGTCATCATTAACCCTAATTAATATTGTTCATAATATAACTCCCTTATTTATAGCTTTTCGCTTCAAAATTCAAACCCGAATTTTTTTTCTTTTTTAAAAAAAGTCATTAAATAAGCATATTAATAATTATGTTATCTTTAGTATATAATTATATATTAAAACAAAAATTTTATGACATCATCTTAAACAATCTGGGCCCTTGATTGTATTTCAATCCTATGTTTTCCAACCTTAGATCAAATTGCTGACATCATCTTCCTCAAATGTAATGTACTTTATTCCAATAAGAGCTTTCCACAAAATTAACTTAAATCCGTATTTCAACGTATTTAATTCTAATAAAAGCTTCCCAAATTTCAAATCTTGAGTTTTCGATTATCAAGGTTTTAAAATGGTCAACTTTAAAAACATATTACTAAAAACCATTTCAATTAAAGCATTAAATATCAACTATTAATACAAATCCGTTTATATTAGTAAACCATTAATATAAAATCCATTTTATTAGGAAACCATTAATATCAAAAAAATCAGATTCAAATTATCACATACATATATGATTCATCTTTGAATCAACGGCTCATACTTATTTTCAATCGTTGCTTTTCTTTAAACCTTCTTCTACAACATCATTCTTATTATTTAGAACTTTCATCGTCATTCTCTGCTTCAAACCTTCTTTTTTGTGCACTAGAAGGTCAGTACCTTCTTTCACTTTTTTATATTTTTTTTGATTAATTAATTTTTTTGTTCCTGTATCAAATATATGTATTCATATATTTCGATTTTCTTTGTCACAAATTACATGAAATCGGTTAACTACTTTTCTAAAACTTTTCAAATAAATAGGAAAATATATTACATACCTTTAATCCAGAAAAAATAATAATGTACTTTGATGGAAACCAGTTAAAATACAATATAACAAAGTACTTTGATGGAATGACAAAGGCATCCTACCCATTTTCCTGTTCATTGTAATCAATTTTTTTTGTGTATTCGTTTAGCATGATACTTCCATTTTTTATCCGAAGAGTAAATCATTAATTTAGTATGTACAATGTTTATCAGAATGGTAAATCAGTAATTTAATTTAAACATTGATCAAATCATAAGTTGTTACTATTTTTGTTTGTTTGATTATATCAACATGGTTACTGTTTTTGATTGTATATAATATCTTAAATTGTTGGTTAAGTTATAAGGATTGCAATCTTGATATAGAACTCAAATAATTTGTTAAGATAAATATATGGTAATACTAATGGAAAATGGAGGATAAGGTATAATAGGAATAAAGATATATTTTTTTAGTGTTTGAATGTAAATTAATATCCTAATATGATGGTTGAATTACAACATTTCTAACTTTAAATTGAAATCATAACTAAAGGTTATTGATATTGTTGGATGGATTTTTTTTAAATGATAAGTATGATTTTAGGGTTTAAGGGCAGAAATGTAATTTTATTTGGGATAGAATAAAGAAGGAAGATTCGAATTTACCTTTTGAAGGTATCAATAAAATCCTTAATTTATATGATTTATTTTAATTTGATTGCAAATTAGATGCATGAAACCTTTAAGTAAGGAAATATAAAGGCAAAAAGGTAATTCGACTTAGGAAACTAGAAAAGCATTGGGCTGGAAAAGAAAGTCAACAATAGATATTGAGATGACATGTGTACTAAAATGATTCTTTATGCATGATACTTCCATTTTTTCTCCGAAGGCTAAATCATTAATTTAGTATGGACAATGTTCATCAGAAGGTAAATCAGTAATTTAATTTAAAAATGGATCAAATCGGTTGTTGCTACTATTTCTGTTTGTTTGATTATCTCAACTTGGTTACTGTTTCTGACCTTATTGTCGACTATACTAACTTCATATCATACCATTTTTAGGAATGTACTTTTAAAGTACATTTTATACCATTTTTAACAGTAACATGTTGTGATTTTTTCATGTTGTAAATGTCTCTTTTAATTTATCTTTTATTCACTATTAAGGGGATGAATTTTATAAACAAATTAATCTAGAAAGGGTTAAACTATAATTATTCTAATTTGTATATATTTCTATACTGTAAATACAACCATTCAATGATTGCTTTCTATGACTAATAAAATTATGTTTCTATTTTTGAAATCTCATAAAACATTACATAAGGTTTTTTTTTGCTTAACACATTACATCATTCAGTCTAGATTAAGTCAAACAAAACAATAATGTATAACTTTTCATATTAAATGCTTAACCTATTAACTTGGACTCGATCCTCAACAACCTCTACAAACTGCAATAGCCATGTGATTTTATTTTACAAATTGTAGCAACATACTTACCATAAAAAAACTTTTAATTTTAAAATAAAACTTAGTTTTTTAACGGTAACAACAATATACAACACTTAATATCAACATCCTTATCTACCGGTTTCTCTAAATATTAATACATGAACCATATCAAAAGTAGGCTAAGAAGTTAGAATCTAAATTATGAATGATCTTATTTCATTGAATATCAAATTTACGATATTATAGACAAATTTTTTGTTTGATTCTTAAATTTTCTATGTGGTCGTATTTATATGGTAGAATCAAATTGCATAATTACAATTAACATTTTTTTTATTAAACTTTGTATGTAGGTATGAAACAATAATAAGTATATTTTTGAAGGAAAATTGTTCAAAATAATTTGCATAATCTAAATACATGTTAATTTAGTTCATTTCCTATACTTTCCTATAACATTGGATTTTTTTTTGTCATGTTACATTCAAAAGATGGGTTATTAGAACATGCACCTTAGGTGTTTGACGAAATGTTTCAAAGAATCTGACATAAGTTCTCTACGCTCACCTCACAATCTGGTATAAATTTTGGTTTTATTTTTTTTCTAGATTTTTAGCATCACGTGTTTTTGTTGTTTGCAACTTTGTAGTGTTACGTGCTTTTTTTTGTCTCCTCCTTAGGTTTTTCTATCTAGGGCTTCATTTTTTATATTTATTGTAAACTATCGATTCAATCTATTGCATTTTGTTATGACTTTTATCAACGTGATAAGATTCTAATAAATTGTTAATTTCTTGATCTTTTAGAAAAAGATGTTCTAACTGGATTACCATCTATGACAATGGTATTCTATTTTGTTGATTAAGCGATCTATGATTTGGCTAGGATGAGTTTTACGGATTATGTCTGGCCTGATAATTGTTCCTGTCATCAAAAAATACATCCAACAAAAAGTGAAAGACGATTTTTTTAAATTAATACCCTCATCTAACTTTAAAGGATATTTTTTCAACTTTGATGGCATGTAACAGACTTTTGGTTGAAAATTTTCAATTTTTCGGTATATAACGGGTTATGACTTAAATAATGATATTAGATATTTGGCAATCAGGTTTTCTTCGGTTCTTACATTATTTTGCAGAAAGTGGTACAATTTGGTATTATTGATCTTACAAAAGGCAAGTCTCATGTCTTTTTTAGCGTATTCATTGAGTTTGAAAGTTTATTGTCTATATTTGTTTTAAAAATAGTGTTAAATCTTGATTTAATGAATGCAAGTCAGCAGGTAGTAAAGGTGTAAGAAGAGCAAAGTATTAAATATGGGATGATCATGGCTATGTCAAACCAAACTAAAATTCTAAAGTAACAAATGCTAAATTCAAAAGGTAAGCACTTGTAATGCAGAATACATATTATGCTTCCCAAATAAATAACCAAAAATGAACATCTTCTCCAAATAAATTACATTTTAACTAACATCAATAAATTATGATTACATTGTCTTGATTTTTAATTATACATTATAGAGAGCCGGTTAATATATAGTCAGTATTTTTGTATTCGTATCAGTTTTGAACTACAAAAACCATATTCAAATAATAAAAATGAAATGGAACATATACGATGGTAATAATGCTAAAATAACCTTCAAATTTTGTTTGATACAAAAAAATTATCTAAAACTTATTTCTAAAAGCAAAAAGAAATAGCAACGAACTTTCAAAAAGAAATAAGAAATTGCAACAAACTTTTCAAAACTATCAAGAATGTATAATATAGGATGATTATAATGCTAAAAAACACCGAGTTTGGTCTGATGCAAAAAAATAAATTTATATGAAAGTAGGATTGCAGTAATACTAAAAGAACCTATATGTTTTTTATCTGATGCAAAAATGGTCGAAACATACTTCTAAACCAGCAAGAAATAGCAATGAACTTTTAATTTATCTTGAATAACCATTTAATAGCTATATCTAAAACATATGAATACTCAACAGTTAAGACCATAGACATTACTCAAACGTCCACATATGTCATGAAGTAAGCATTCTTTTTTCCATTATTTTATCATTATCATAAAATAAAATAAAAATGCATCCTCATGTGTTTAAATTGTTTAATTTGTATCATAATAACAAGTAAGTTGTGTGCCAATTATGTATTTTGACATTTTCAACGAGTCACGAGCAATAACTAAATCGAGCAAACATAACTATTTTTATATTTATTGGTTAGAGTTTCTTTATATTTAATATTGTGGGGGGTTTATGTGGTTCATTTCCAATGAACATAAATAAGTTACTATTTTTTGAAATAAACAATTATATTTTACAATATAGCCATAAATAACAATGTATTTTGAAATACATTGTCAAATGTTGGATATACTTGCGTAGACCCGTTTTCGCACATGGTTGTTTCCCGTGTCACAAGTAAAAAAGTTTTGAAGTTACTTTGTGACGAGGAAGATCGTTCAACTAATAAAAAAATATTGTCTACAAAGAGGTCCTTCAACGACTATATATATTTACCGATTTCAATGTATTTTATATACATTTCAATAATACCAATAACCATATTTTTTTAATTATTCTGCAATATCTATATACATTTATATTTTATTTATGCGTTTCCCCGCGTTTAACGCGGGTCATAATCTAGTTTAGTATAATTTGAATATCATTTTTAACAAGAAGAGGTGAACCAGAGCCCTAAATGAAATCATAAACGTGAAGTTTGTATTTTTTTGGTTCCTAAATGAGTTGCTTCTTTGCTAGTGCATAAACTCTACTGTAAGTAAATTGTCAAGTTTAGGATTGTTAAATTATAAATGTTTGTGCGATACTCAATTAATACAAGACTTTTGTTAAATTACTCCATTATTAATGGACACAAGATCAATTGTTTTAATGGTGATTAAATAGTTAGTCCATTTCAACGACACAAATTTATATGTTTGAGTATAAGTTTATGTTTTTAAGGTTAATGTCATAAAAGTCTTTAAGTTTTCAGGAAATATTCAGTTTTACCATTTTGGATATTTTAGGTTGTCAAAGCCGAATATTTTGTTTAATTTTTGCACTTTTTCTATTTATAACAGGTTTTCTGGTTACCTCAGGTAGTGTTGATTGTACAATTTTGCAGACAAAGATGTTGAAGTGGACTTGACTTTTACCTTATAATTAAAAAATATAGCTTAGAGAAATAAAATGGGGTAGCAGGAAATAAAAACATACCTTTTAATCCACACCCCTTCCTCACATCCAACATTAAATCCAAACACTTAGCTCAGAGAGGGTATCCATCTTTCACCTCTCACATTTTGAATGTCACGTCAACTTTTCAATCACTTAGGCTAAGAGGAGTGGTAATACTCTTAACACCTTGTCATGTTAGATTTTGGAGTGCCACCACATTTTTTACCATTTAGCATTTAATCTTAGCATTTGGTAGGGAGTGGTAATCAAACAAACAGAATAAATTACTCTTTTGTTAAATTTGAAAGAAATACGGTAGCTCCATTTTTTTTTTAATTTATATTTCTTTTTTTAATTTAATTAAATTACTTTATAAATCAACCAACATTCAAATAAATTACTCTTTTGTTAAATTTGAAAGAAATACGGTAGCTCCATTTTTTTTTTTTTTTTTTGGAATGAAACCAAATACCAATCATGCAAGAACATTCAAATTTGATTGTATATCTAAGAACAATGCCACACATTTCAAATCATTAACATAGCATAACAATACAGATTACAAAGTCAAGATCTCAAGATATTAGATATGAAAAATGAAACCACTACGTGTGAACTAAAAAAAAAATTCCTCACGACCAAAATCCACAATATTTATATGTCATGATAAAGAGCAAGACCTTTACTTGTACAATATTCAAGAGCTTTTGCAAGATGTAGCACAACTCTTAACCTCATTTCCCACTTCATAGGATGTGACTGAGCATGTACTCAGCCACAAGTAGCCTCTCATCATCTTCACAGTAGCAACCAAGGAGATTAGTCCGCCTAACATTACGCAGCTGCCCGACAGATTTAGCTTCTTCCTGTAAAGCATTTGTTAAGTTATTGGTCAAAATACCCAGCTATCAAACTGACATGAAAAGCACTTGTTAAGTTATTAGACAAAGGCTATAAGCACAAATAAAAGCATTCAAGTAATAATGATAGAAGTCCAAACAATTTAAAACTTACCTGCAGCTTCTAAAGCAGCAACAACGGTTTTCTTCTTTGGAACTCTATTGATGTCAATCTTGATGTTTGTAAGTGTTAACCTCTTGAAGTTCATTTGGCCTCTTACCATGTCAGGAGCATCAACAAGTGCCTATTAATCAAATCAAAATAGAGGTAATTAAGACATGAGCATCTATAGCAGATTAAATGTTTCTTTGAATCCATATAACAGAAGCCACCAGACATGATCACATGGAGCATCTCTAATTCCTAATCTTAGTATTTTGTTACAACCAATTTCAGGCATTTTGAATAGCTTTGATTTGAATTACACGGTGATATTCTCACAGAGGAAAATGATCGAACACCTGGTGTGCACAGGAAAATAACAGCATATAGCCATAGCCATGGAAGCAAATCTAAAGCTTAATGATCTGAACAGTTTTTTTAAAACTGGAAAACAGAAGAGTCTATGAACAAGACTGGAAAACAGAATAAAACTTTAAAGATTGAGAATGGTTCTCAAGATCAAAACCAGAAAGATCATTAAGAATAACAAAGGTGAAAGACTTACTCCCAACACATTATCCAAATTCTGGGAAATTCTGGGAAATTTGAATTCGTTCCTGCACATCCATCTCAGTGACCGTCAATTCTTCATTGGTGATACTCCTTTCATCCAATTCTCCATTGCCAATCCTGCAAATGCTTCCTCTGTGCCATGCGATGACATTAATTCCGAGGGTAACTACGATCGGACTGGAGACGCGGTAGGGCTTTTTCAAAACAAAACTATAAAATTTAATTCGGTCAAACCCCACTCCCACCAATCAAATTCATTCCTCACCATCTCTCTCTTCTCGCCAAAGGTTTAGCACGTCTCCGGTGGCGACCCCCAGCGAGGGCTAGGGGGCGGTGTTCTAGCGAGGTTGGTGACGCTGGCGGGCAAGCCACTCCGCTTACTCTTATATTTCACAAATAAAAATGTAGGAAATGATCATTTTTCACTTTTGTTTTAGTTTTTAAATAAAAAATAATTTAATTTTAAGCTTTATAATTCAAAAAATAAATATAATTCCTTAAATATGATTAATAAACTTAAAAATAATTAAAATAAAAATACTTTGTTACATAAAAAATACATAAAAAACAATCAAGATTTTAAAAAACCTAGAAAACAACCAAGATTAAAAAAACACAAGCTATATTTAAAAAAACTACGTTACTCTGAATCGTCGTCCTCGACACTTTCATACTCGTCATAGTCATTTGAATCCTCAACGAACATATCTGAATCTTTATCGGATTCGTTAAACAAATCATTGTGCCAATACTCTGTTTGGGGTTGTACACGAGCCTTATAAATGTGCTCTACCAAATCTACACAAAGGGAGTGATGAATGTCGTGATCATGTAATTCTCTTCTATTTGCCCTGTACTCTTAAGTACAAATAGCTACTCCTTTGACGTTTGGAAAAACTTCATTTTTATCGTATCAACATATCACTCTTTCTTTATCAACTAAAATCATATTATGTAATATGATGCACGCGTACATTATATGTTGTAACCTTTTCACTTCATATGACCGTGCCCTGTTAGAACAATAAAGAATAGATCGGTAGATTCTAAACTGGTATATGAATCAAAAACAGTAAGAACAGTGATTGAAGTTGTGCCGAATGATTAATAATTTATTCCTTGGAAGAGGTCGATGAAGAACTTCTCTGTAAAGGCACTGTAGGGAATCACCAAAACGATTAACCCTAATACAATACATGCATGCAGTATTTAAAGCCTAACCCTAGTATCATAAAGACGGATGGACAGGCCGAATCCGTAAAAAGGCTAACTATATACACACTAAATTTGACACAATCTAATAAATAACCCAACAATCTCCCCTTTCTGTCAAATAAGGAAGGCAAATTCTTCAATGTAGTTTGCGCTTTTGAACTTTGAAGAGCAACGACATCAGACCAAGCAAAGTTTTGCGAACAATGATATACCACTTAATCATATCAGCAAAACCCTTCTTGTCAGCAACATCATTCCCTTTGTGACCACTTGCTAATTCCAAAACATATTACAGGCACAAAGTGGAGTAAAGATGCTTATCAGGCAGAAAGAAGCAACATCTTTGAAAGTTCGCACCAGCCCTTTCTCTTATCTGGAACGCCATGCTCCAGTTGTCCTTCCGGATTTGTCCCAGTTTCATCTTGTTGAGATCTTTTGGAGGCTCTTTGAGCAGCACTGTAGGTTTCTTTCGAAGAACAGTCACAATCTCCACATCCATCTTACCAACTTCTTGGATGTAAGAAACCAACATTCTTTTGAGATGTGCAACATAGGTTCGAAATTCTGTTCATCCTTCAGCAATAGATGCAACAGGGAAATCCAGTAAAATGGTTTAAGGCAGGGCAAATCAGCGAGAGTAAATTCAAACACAGAACTCCGAGCCCCTTGAGCAACCTTGAACCGATCATTGACGAAGGTTTCTGTTTCAATTGGGTCAAAGACTTTCACAGCAGTAATCTTCTTAGAACTTCAGGTTTGGTATTGAGGCTTTCTGTGTTTGAGGTAAAACGCAATAAGCACCTAATGAACATCGTTGTCCGAATCAGGTGCACTCGTAACCCTGTCAAATCTTCTAAACAAGAAAGCTTTCGGAGTTATTGGAAAGTCAAGCTGCGAATCCAAAGTGTTTTCTAATTCAAACGAAGTAACTAGCTCCAACCAATATACATTCGGATTATCTATTGCCTCATTCAGAACCCTTTCCATAGACCAAGCAGGGAATAGAAGCCTTTGAGTTTTCAGAGTAACTTGGGCTTCACGAGCTTCTTTTTTCAGCTTCTTCGGCTTCTTTTGTGACACGCTGAGCTTCATCCAGCTCTTGGTCACATTTCTTTCTTTTCAGTTACGCTTCTTCTGATTGATCTTCTTCTTCCTCATCATCATCAACCAACTTTCCTTTTCCTTTCGATCCCGAAGCTTCATTATCCTTCGGATCTTTTAGTTTCAGCTTTTGTTCATGCTCTTCATTGCCACCAGCTGGTTTCTTGATTTCCACACTAGATGCCTTCTTCGCTTCCCCCTTGTTTCAGAAGAGTACCCAATGCCGAAACACCTTCTATTCGATTGAGCATTGAGAATACTGGTCAGAGTTTGTTAGCTAGATACTGTCGAACAGAGACTGTGAGCGTTGAATCACGAGTCTCGATGAGATTTCGCAAATACTGATTAACATCGGTGACAACACTTTTGACAACAACTTTTTCAGACTTAAGCTCTTGGATCTCCTTGTTGGCATGAGAAAGGTGGGCGGAAACAACTTTCACTTTTTCAGTTTTGATGGCAACCTTATCCATGAGAGCCTTCTCAGTAGCATGATCTGCTTGAAGCTTTTCAGTCTTGGAAGAGATCGACGTTTGCAGCTCTGCATTATCAGTCTGGATGCCAGTACGAACCTTGGAAAGAGCGTCTTTCTCGGATTGGAGAGTTGTACCAAGGGTCGTAATTGCCTTGTTCGCAGCAGTTATCTTTCGTTCCGAAGAAGTTCGGAAGTCTTCCATAAACCGTTTGACATCAGACAGTAGTTTATCGACTTTTTCGGTCACATCACGAACTGTCTTCTCAGAATTTGCCACAGCTTTTGTAGATGCATCAAGACGTGTTGCATGTTCCTTTGTGAATGTTTCGATTAACACTTTGACAGAATTGTAGGAGTATTCAGTACTTGACGAAGATTTGGAAGACTCAATGAGAGTATCCAATTTATCATTGAGGGCTTTGAATTGCCCCTTCGTTATAGGCGCATCTTCGTCATCACTAGTTGGTTGGACGTTGAATGAGCTATAGTGAAAGCCTTGGAAATAATCCTGGTCATCATCGAACACCGCATCAGGATCATCTGTTCTTAGAGGATAGATGGGAGAGAAATCAGGACCAACAGTGACACCAGAAGCACCTGCCCATGTATCAGATACGTTGATAGTTACTGGTGGTGTAGTAGTGGTTGTTGCTGTAGAATCTGTGAAAAATGGAGTAGATTGTAGAACAGAGACTTGTGGCTGCGAAAATCCAACAAAGATGTTCGGACATGGAGCAATGGTAATTGGAGTGGTGGTTTGAGTAGGAGTTTGATTCGGAGAAGATGGAGGAGTAAATCCATGAAAGAAATCTTCTGTTAAAGGAACAGAGGTGGGCATGGAAAAAGTTACCTCTGGATTGGTCTCAGTAGCAGATGGTTGTGAGACCATCGGTTGCGAAGTCGCAGCTGTATCTTCAGGTTCGTGCTGGACTTGCTCAGTGCTACGAACGTCTGAAATTGTGTGAGAATCCGAATCTCCCTCAGCAACAGGAGTAGGCGACCTTGGCTTTCGAGCGGCCTGTTTGACTTTCTTTTTCGGAGTTAGAGCGGAATTAGAGGGACCAACCATCGCCTTACGTTTACCTCCCTTTTTAGACTTGTTTGCTTCTTCCAAAGTCTTTTGCATCTCAGGTGTTAGAGGTCGAGGACTAGATGTAGGCTTCTTGCGATACTCGTTTATCAATTCGTTTTCTGCTGGAACATAGTTTAGCATAGTCTCCGGAATAGAGTCAGCGAAGGTTAACTTGGAGCGATCAGACAGAATGATGTTCGAGGTGTGGTAGATAGGAATAACAGCAATAACCGAACTTGTTGTCACCGGAATGTTGTGACGAGTGATAGCCCTCTGAACAACGATAGACCAAAATCGAGCATAAGAAAATTTCGAGTGCCTTGTAGAGGAAAGAGTACTCTAAACTAGTTGATCCCAAGGAATAGACCCATAGTCCAGGCTAATGCCAGAGTATACTCCATAGATGATGGTGCAAAAAAGCTTACTAGCACTATCCGACCCTGTGACCCTTTCTGAGAAGCTTTTGAACAAAAGGGTAAAAAGACCATTCCACATTGGAGGAAGGTTAGGCTTCTTGAACTTGGAAAGAAAGGCTAGGTTGCCCAGTTACCCCATTTGGTAAAACATGTCCACAAATGCAGATGAGGAGATTGATTTCGGATCAACCAGATACCTTGATTGAGAAAACCCTAGCAGACGGCTGAATCGGGCCTTGGAAATAGAGTTTTTTTATGGAACCTACCTCGAAGGTAATCTGAGCCTCACTTTGTTGATGACGTGCAGTCGAAAAAGCCTCAGACAAAAGGACCAATGGAACGTGCGCTGCCATTGTTAGGGCAGGAGCCACCGAAGAGGTGATGGAGACATTCAATCATTGGTTGGAGAACCACATCATACTTGGATGAATCCAGGTCAAGAATGAGATTTTGGTTGGCTTTGGTGTTTAGAAGCATTGACGATGCAGTCTGTTCAGCAGCAGATGGAGTTTCTGTGGAGGAAGACATGGATGCAGTTGAGAAGAAGATGAAGAGTATCAAGGTTTTTGCGCCGGAGAGTTTTCAAAATCTTTAGAAGCGGTAAAAGAAATCAATCGACGATTTTCCCTTTTATACGTCTGTATTGGAGAGAGAAAGCAGTTGGTGACGTTTCATTTTCCCGTAACTGACAAGGCTTGATGTCAGGACTTTTGAAAAACACACGCCCAAATTTTGAAGTCTTATCCCTTAAAAATCGTTGCTTCAGTTCTGCACTTTCGTAACAACTCGCCATAACCTATTCTCGGATGTGAAAGCAACCATTAGTATTAAGAATCAGACTTTTGGAAAATCACAAGGATTTTTGTGCAAGAGTATGCCAATAGATAAAGAAATAAAACAAATAATATCTGGAAATCTGTGATGTCAATAAATCGACATGAAAACAGTTGGATCCCGGGCAACGATCTCTTCCTTCGGAGTCAAGAGAGACTAAAAAGTGTCTGTGTGGTATCCCGTTGAATTACGATCATCTGTTTGTTGAGAAACAGTGAAATGATTTTTTTCATTAGGCTCATAGGTTGGCTTCATCTTCAACTAAACTCCAAAACTCAACA